TGGCAAGGGCACAGTCAAATGTTATTGAAACACAACTATGATATAATGTTCTTGAGACAAGATTATGCTTGTGTATCATTTCCAATGAAACTCATCTCATCCTACTGTCTCCATGAAGATGCCAAAACCAGGCACATGACCAAATTATAAAGATTAAATAAAGTTTTACTCAGCATTTTTATTTACAAAATAGAATAAAAATGTCAGTGTACACAATGTCTTTCATTATTTTATTTAAATAATTTACATTTCCATTTAACATGATGATTATTACCACGTAGATTTCAGTGCTTGAGAAAATGTTCTGACAGAAAGCATGTCCTCATCATCCATCTCGATTTACCTGTAAAGAAAATGCTGAACATCTAAACATCTAGTTTAGACTTGTGACATAACATTCACATTTGTAAAGTAACTTCAGTTGTAGCAAAAATGTGACACTAGGTGGCGGTTTTGGATTACATTTTTTTTTTAAACCGCCTAACCATGGTCTCAGGCCACACACACACAAACACACACAAACACACACACACACACACATACATACAACAACACAAATTTTATTGCTCCACTGATAAAAACCTCACTATTATTTATAACTACTAGATAAGCTGGTTCACTTTGTCTCATTAAAGCTCTGGGTTCGAGTGCATGAGCATGATCCATGATGCTAAACTAGAGGGGAATCGCCTTGTAACTACAATGTAAAAACAATTAAGGAAATTTCAAACATCAAAAACATTTCTTGGCTTATGCCAAACTACACTTGGCGTAGGAGGTACACTGAGTTCATTCTTTCGCAGAATGGCTCCTTTAAACCATTTAAGGGAAAGTTTAGGGGCAATTAAGCTTTGACGTTAGCTTTCCTCCATCTTAAGAGCTGTTGTCTTTGAACTTTATGTTTGCGACCGCATTAGCATATACTGTGGTTTAGGTGAACTTGTATTAATCAGCTGTGGACAAATCATGAAGTCATTAGGTAGCAAGAGTGAAAGCACCAGTGTGCTCTCTAGGCCCATGTTTTAGTTTGTAACCTAATTGCCTAAGCAAAAAAAAATGGTAACATATT